TCATCGATTTGAGCAATTAAATATGTGTTATATGTCATGAAAAGTATATCACTAGATTTCTACACGAATGTAGTTTCTAAATATATATATTTTGTCACATATAATACATATTTAGATAGTTAAATCGTCGACCTAGAATTACGCGAATGACTTATTCACCGAGATGGAGGTAGTATTCCCTCTATCTTGTAATATAAAAAGCATTTTTACACAATACACATTTCTCCCTTTCTCTACACTGAGCCTGAACCTGAGGACTATATTTTTCTCTTTATTATATTCTCTTCGTTTCTTTTTAGTTAGCATATCAAATTTGATTGAAATCAAACTTTACCAAGTTTGACTAACTTTATACAAAAATATCAGCATTTGTAATATAAAATGAATATTATTAGACGTGTCATGAAATTAATTTGCATACCAAATAGCTTTAGCATTGTAGATGCTAATATTTTTTTTAATAGTTAAATTTGACTAAATTTTAAATGCTGACTAAAGAGAAACAAAAAGAGTACTACTCATATAGTTGAGCTGGTACTGCCGCGTTGGGACGGGAACGGGCAAGTGATGGAGTGTGCAGCATCAGTTGCAACAACAGCTACGGACAAGCCTCTCGATGTGACGGGTCGTCGGAGGACGCACGGAGCAGTGTCGGCTACCTGCAGCTTACTGTTTACTCCTGCTACTCTGCAACTTCAACACTGGTAGTGGTAAGAGTAGCGGTTTCTTTTCTTTGAGCGAGGCAAACCCCTGCGACACAACTCAGGCCATCGATCGATTACGTCAGTATAGTATGCACATAATGGTTGTCGCCGCTGTTCTGTAGGTACTACTAGCATCTACAATATCTACAATGTAACCGGTAAATTTTCTCCAATCATGTACAGGGACCAATCCACAGACACGGATGTAAAAGGCCGTCATATATATTTCAAACTCTTTTTTAATAAATCAGATGAAATTCGTGCAAACTCGGCCGGATTTCGTATAAATATGACGGATGTTATACAGTTACATTTTAGACATATTTTAACTAAAAAGATAAAATCATGTGCACGTACAGTCGCGCGTAGCTTCACTTCCACGACACGATACACTACACTTGTCTATGGCTGACCGCGGCGGATCCCTTTGTCTTCCCATGTCCGGCGTCGCGCGTAGCTTCACTTCCACGACACGATACACTACACTTGTCTATGGCTGACCGTGGCGGATCCCTTTGTCTTCCCATGTCCGGCAGCCCGCCTGGACTGCCGAGAGTCCCAGAGGCATATTCTTCTCCCGTATCTCCCCTATGTCCGACTACGCCGCTTATTGGAGTGGCAAAGAGGATGCTTCAGCCGAAGGTGAAGGTGCTTCCGTGGAGCCTAGACGACTGTGCCCAGGATGGTCTGAGATAAAGATTAGACAAGTTACCGACTGTACAAGCCGGCGACGCGCCGACGCTAGCCTCCATGGGATACAAGTGATGGCGGCCTACCGTGCTCTACTTCTCCTCGATGATGGCGGTGGATGCGGACGTGCGGGCCGCCACCACGTTAACATTCGCGCATCCGGCTTCTCTCTCTGCGTGCATAGCGTGGCTACGCGTGCGTCGGTGGTGAATGGCGCGGTCACAGGCACTGGAGGTGGCGATGCCCGTGCCGCCGTGCTCCCCATCATGCTGGGATGGAGCAACTCGCCACTCCTCCGCGAGTTGGTTTCGAGCAGCAAGTTGTTGAACCACGCGCCGGCTTGGGGCGGCAACTGGCTCCATCGGGCTAGGCGGGGGAGGTGGAGCAGCGAGCTGCGTCGCTCGTATCCGACGGGCTCGGCGGGCCACCCAGCTGACTTTTATGCCAGAGAACTGTTTTTCTGGCTCATCGGATGCCATCGAAAGAATGAAGAAAATGGTGAAAGAAGGAGATGGGGAGTGGCGCAGTGGTGCAATTGTTGCCTAGCGTCCGGCCTCGTTTAAATAGAGGGCAGACGGAGGGAGCTTGCACGACATTGCTTTTAATGTCGGTCCGCTCGTGAACAGATGTGGGGCCGAAGTAGATTTCTCGGCTTCCACTAGGGTTTAATGAGAGGCGTTTGAATGCGTCGAGGAGGCGTGTTCAGCCGGATGTGCAGCGGGCGACGCCCTCGGCCGGCGCACCATTTCAATGGCAGAGGCAGTGAGAGGTCGCGTTCGCCCTGAGCCGTCTTCAGTGTGGAGCGGTGCGCTCTACAGCGACATGAATGCGGATAGCTAGACGACGGGCGGGAAGCTCATGCTAGCGGGGAAGGTGTTTTTGATGGGCCACAGCATTTAGAAGCGGACGTGACAACAAACCGAACTCCCGTAAATCTCTCCATATTTATCTCCGATTTACGGGGGGTTTACGGGTCAGTGGCGAAGATGCCCTGAATGCAAAGCGTGAAATTTTGTTGAACTAGCCCGGCTATGGGTAGTTAACTGACAAAATAAAAGCAACTGGGCTGGGGCGCCTCTCTGATTGGTCTTTTCAAACCAGCCTGCCAAAATAATAAAAATAAAAGACAAGTGAATTTATAAATACTTCCTCCATTCTGAATTATAAATGTTCTAAAGATTTTCTAAGTTGGATGTAGATAGTTATGTTTTAATGTGTTTATTCACTGCTGAAGTCCGTACATAATTTATACTAAAATATCTAAAATATCTTATAGCTTCTACAACCACAAATAGTTAATATGAGTTGTCAAGCGCCCGCGGACGCGGCTGGAAGTGTCCGCGCACGGTGACGGGCAGCGCCCCAAGTTGCGTACGTTCCTATGTTGATAAGAGAGAGGTGAAAAATAAAGAGAATGAGCTCTCATACGAGAGTCTATCACAACACGTGCTTCCCGTATAATAGATGTGGAGAAGGACGCAGAGAAAAGATGAAGAAAATACTGGTTTTATAATCAATTTATTAGTGATTATAACATATATAGTCAATAGCCGTATACTTCCTCCGTTCATGGTCCTTTGTGTTTGCGTTTCAGTGTGCTTGTAAGAGTCAACTACTTTGTACTGATTCGTAATGTGAATGAAGAATTTCTCAAAAAGAAAATAGCAGTATACTTCCTCTGTTCCTAAATATAAGTCCTTTTAGATATTGCAAATGAACAATCACATACGGATATATAGACATATTTTAAAGTGTAGATTCAATTATTTTGCTCTGTACACAGTCATTTATTAAAATCTCTAGAAAGATCTATATTTAGGAACGGAGGGAGTACATTATTAGTTGTACTATGTTCAGCCCACAAAGGATCATATTTCAGATTTGACGTCTTAGTGTTTTATTAAGGGCATTTCTTGTCGGCCCTTATAACCGGTTAGTGGAGTAAAATTTCTGTTTTACTTCACTGACATGTACCTAGTCGATCCCTTATCCGTAGCAAGGAAGTAAAATCTTACTCATGTACCCAAACTTCTTCCTAAATATACTCCATGAAAAGGGAACGGAGTAAAATTTCTGCTTTCTCTCTCGCCTCCCTTGCTACTCATGCGCGCCGCCACCGCCCGTCACTACTCCCCTGCGCGATTCCGCCGCCCGCCGCTACTCCCTGCGCGCCGTAGCGGCCACTCCCCCACGCGTCGTCGCTGCTTGCGTGGCTGTGGGCAGGGCTACTGCCGGTGGAAAGGCCGTAGCATTGCATCTCAACGGTGCCGTCGGAGAGGAGCTCGAGGCCGAGGTCCATGCATGCCTCCTCCATGTCCATCGTGACGCTGGCAGACGAGTGGTGGTGCGGGGAGGAGGAGGCGCATGAGGACGAGGACTCGCCGGCCTGCTTCCCTACCACGGAGTGTCGGCGTCAGGGGCGCAGCCGTTACGCTCGTGCCAGCTCTTCTTCATCTCCCACGCGCGGTCCAGCCACGCCCCCCGCACCGTCGCTCCCGCCAGACCACGTTGAAGCTACTCCGTCGTGGCTGCGCCGCCTCCGCCTTGACCGAACTGCGCTGCAGAAGTCGTGCCTACTGCTCCTCGTTGTCGCACCCGAAGCTCTTCTTCGTGTCCTCCACCGCCAGCCACACGTGCGGCGGTGGCAGAGTCCGGGCCCCTCGCAGCCATCGTCGCGGCGGCAGCGGTCCTGCGCCGCCCTCCATCCTCACCAAGCACGAGCACGACAGTGATGGCGGCCAATCACGTTGCGGCAGGGCGAGAGCACCGGGTGGAAGGCCGTGGTATGGCGCGCATCGGTGGTCACCGGCGTTTTTGGTGTGGTCACCATCGTCGCAGACACGCATGTTAGATGTTCGATGAAATGCATAAATCAAAAAATAACTTTACTCTGCTAATTTTAGGGGATCGGTTAGAAATGGTCAAACTTAGTGGAGTAAATTTACTCCACTAAGGATTTACTCTGCCGTTTACTCTATTTTTAAGGGACCGGTTAGAGTTGCTCCAATACGGATTATGTTTTCAGTGGAAGGCGATTGTCAATTTTAAATCTTCAGGCTCTTGTTTGTGAGTGGTGCAAGTGTGTGTGTAATCAGTGTTTCTAAAAGCGACTGTAGAGTAAACAGAAAAAATCAACCACTATGATGTTGTTCAGATGTGCTTGTGCGTACGTGTGTAATAAATGAATAAATTGTGTACTAAGAACAGTTCGTTCTGAAACAAGCAGTGTGGACAGTCAGTGATAAGCTGACAGAGACATGCTTGACAAGGATCGCTAGTTCAGAGTGTTTTACGAGGAGACGGCCGTATCCTCTCGTTTCTTAGCAACGCATCTTGCTGGTAATAGTACGACGCATCTCATAAGTTTGGATATATCCAAATACGCGACAAAATGTCACTTGTAACCGGTACACACCAACTATTCAGGCCACACATTTTACAAGCAGCACAACTTTGCTGTTGTGTAAATACCAGGTTACAAATGATACACCCAAAGGAACAAAAGTAGACTACTAGTAGCTATTTTACCCGATTTCCTTTCTCTTCCTTCATCTATGTTTAATTTCGCTTTCAAGATAAGAGCAGCCGAAGACCAATGTGAGGTCGTCAAACAGACTTCGATCGCCGCCTGAGATTGATCGGATATCCTTTGAGGGTTCGAGTGGTGGGAAAGAAGACGAGCCTATCTTCCTCGGCCGCTTCCCAGCTGCCAAATTTATGCACAAAGAAGAAATCAAAGCGGCATCTTAGTTTGGAATTTCAATTCCAGAACATCTAGATCGTATAGCCAAACTCGAGCTGAAGATGAAGATGAAGATGAAGGTGGATTACCTAAAGCGCATTACAAGATGATGGAGGAAAACAGAGATGACAACCCGAGCGAGCTCGTAGCCAGGGCACAACCGAGGTCCACCGCCAAAGGGAGTAAATAAGTTGGCCCCTACCTCGTTCTGAAGTTTGTTGTTGCTCTGCACCAGCAACAAAGTAAGTACTCCCTCCGTCCGAAAATACTTGTCGTCAAAATGGACAAGAAGGAGTGTATCTAGAACTAAAATACATCTACATACATCCCCTTTTATTCATTTTGATGACAAGTATTTCTGGACAGAGGGAGTACATGGTACCACAAAATAGTACGGTTATGCAGGCATTTTACTTTACTTTTCTACTAGCGTAAGCCAAGATATAATAGAATACGTTGACCAACAGCACCGTAAAGGGTACCTGCCATCTCCATGGGTCAAACGTCCGGGCGTTCTCATAGTGTTCATTGTTGAGGTGCACAGCTCGGAACGAAGCAAATATTTTGCAGCCCTTCGGGATAGTGTAACCTAATAGAATGATGAATAAAAGCAAATGTTACACACACTAGGGAAGTATTCCTGATCAAAAGGTTCTGAATACTTAAGTGTGGATTTACTGAAGTACCTTTAAAATGAATATCAGTGTTTGCTCGCCTAAATACCCCACCGATTATGTTAGCCACACGAAGTGTCTCATTTATCACCTGCGAAAGTGGCAATTTCCTTATTATGATGTGAAAAATCCCAGTGAGCTTAGATGTTATTGTCAACAAATGCGGCGGTATGTATGATATGCATATCAACTTTAAGAAATATGGGGGCATTGAAATCATTACACATTGGGTGAAGGTCATTGACTTGTAATCGACCCACTCTAGGGGTTGATTTTCACCTTTCATCTTTGTCATATTTTCATGCTCTTCCTGTAAAATCAGCAAGTCATCTGTATTAATTGCACCTATATTGACACAGAATATCACAAAACAAAACAGCGTTCAAAAAAAAAAGGAATATCACAAAACAGGCGCTAGCCCCGCTTTATATTATAAAGCCAATCAGCCCAACATGCAAACATAGTGTCGATGAAATCCTCAAAAGCTGATCAAAAAAGGAAAACACAGAATATCAATATAAGCATATGTATCCGTTTACTGAAAACAACATCGGCTGAAGAAGTTCATATATTCAGTCTAACTACGGTTCCTGGCTTTGTGGTAAGGATTCACACTTTTTGCTGTTACTGGTGTGTTGATAAACAAAAGAAGAAAAATGAGCAAACATGCTTTTGGAAGAAGTCGGTAGGATTTGTGTTCATAGCAGATCCATTCTTAGGTTACAAGAAGATAAAGAATCAGTCAACATCACCCCTGTCCCAAACCAAGATGCTAACAGTTAGCTACAAACGTAAACAATAGTTTTTTAGTTAAGTACTATCATCTGAATTAACAAAACTGTACTTGATCCTGACCTAAAACAACAAGCCGGCACAGCAAATTTTCTTTTGGAGAAGAGCTGATGTACAAAAGGTTTACCTAACCTAACTCCCAATTATAATAAGATATTACGAAATCGGTTGACGAATCCCCTAGTGTCCGACCTTATTTGACAGTACGCACTACCACACGTGCACAAGAATTGACAAATTACCAAACAAATCCTCATGATTCATCCCATACCTTGAGCTGTGCCAGCGCCGCCGGCGTCTCGGTGAGGAACTTGACGGCCACCGTCATGAGGACGGAAGTGGTCTCGTACCCAGCAACGAGCAGGGACAGGCAGAAGTCCACCATCTCCTCCTCCGAGAAGCTCCCACCCTCCGCCTCAAGAAGCTCCTCCACCATGTCCTTCTTCTCCCTCTTTCCGTCCATCTCCTCCTTCACTCCTTTCTCCTCTCCTCTCTCCTCCATCCTCTTCCTTATCACCTCCCTCAACGCTCCGGCCACCTTCTTCCTCGACTAGAGCAAATTTGACAATAGAATATAAATCAGTTACGGGAACGCGGAGACCAATTTGTGCAAACCGCAATGTCCATACGAAGGGGAAGGGGAAGGGGAAGGGCTGAGGCAAAAGAGTAAACACCTTGAGGGCCTGGCCGTAGGTGGTGAAGGGGAGGAATGAGGCGAAAGGGAAGGGGATGGAGAAGAAGCCGTCGATGAGCTTGACGTATTCGCGGCGGAGGCTCTCGGTCCAGGGCCCGGGCTCGATGCTGACGAGCTGCTTGACGGTGAGGTTGAAGGTGATCTTCTTTGCCTCGTCGAGGAGACGCACGGTGGCGGTGGGCTCCCACTGGCGCATGGTGGCGAGCACGAGGCGCTCGATGTGCGCGAGCAGGGGCTGCGAGGCGGGGCGCCCGAGGCGGGTGAGGGTGAGCGAGTGGAGGCGCTTGTGGGCGGTGCCCCGTGTGAGGAGCAGGGAGCGCGCGCCGAGGAGCGTGGTGATGGAGGAAGGGTAGCTGCAGCTCACGGCGCGGCCCTCGGCGGCGAGGAGGAGGCGGTTGAAGGCCGGGTCGGCGGAGAAGACGGTGCGCTCGCCGAAGATGTGGGTGGTGAACACGCCCCCGTGCCGCGCCACGCGCTCATCAATGAAGGGCTCCGGGTCGGGCGTCTTGTATGCAGAGATCAGCCGCAGCGTCTCGCCGATCAGGGGCAACCCCGTGCTACCCGGCGGTAGCCGCGGCCTCTGCTTCCGGACCCCGACCGCGCACGCCACAAGGAACCATCTGCATACCAACGCGGCGACGACGATGGCAACGGCGGCGGCGGCGAGCTGGAGCGCGCCGGCGTCCATAACTCGCCGTGGTAATGGCCGTGGCGGTGTGCGTTTTGGCTTTTGGTTGGGTGGGGGAGTGAGATTGGTGACTCTGCGAGAG